ATTGGACTTACAAGTTGGAGTTGCATATGTGTTTTTGGAATGCAACTTGCTCGTATGTAGGGGACTTACTGTATTACATTAATTTGCCTTAAGTCACTGGTCTGTCATAGTCACTTGGTTCATTCCAGTAAATTCCCACTAGTCTTTCAATTCATCAGCAGGCAAAAAAGAAAAACTGGCCAGACACGGTGGCTCATGCCTATACTTCCAGTGTTTTGGGAGGCTGAGACAGGAGGATCACTTGAGGGCAGGAATATGAGATGAGCCTGAGCAATATAGCACAACCCCATCTCTACAAACAAAAACAAAAACAAAAAATCTACAAGAATGTGAGACTATATGTCTGGGCAGATAGAAAGGAATAAAAAGGATTCTATAGAAACAATAGAGTTGATTATGTATAGCACCTAATCCTTCTTAGATAGAAGGCAAAGGTTTTTGTTATTTAATGTTTTTCCTTCCTTCAAGAGTTAAAAAAAAAAAGGAAATTCTGAGTTGTTAATAGTATTTGCTTGGTATCTCACAGGTATCATTTAAAAGTTTTAATATTTAGACATACTTTATCTGTAGGCAATGCTCCCGATTCCTCACCAGATGGCCTTCTGATAGGGTATCTACTGTTGTGAAAAACCACCCTAAAACCTGGTGGCTTAAACGCACCACTTTTTATTTGCTCACAATCTGCAATTTGGACTGGGTTCAGCTGCTGGTCTCACCTGAGATCACTCATGCTGCAGTTAGCTTGGGGATTGACAGGGGTTGGATGGTCCAAGATGGCTCCACTCATGTCTGGAAAGGAACTGTGTAAGGATACAAATGCCCAGAGATAGGACCACTGGGGACCATCGCTGTAACAATCTACCACAGGGTAAGAGGGGTGCATTATTTATGGGCTTGGCCTTTCACTTCCTTCAGTGAACTCATTCCACTCCTCCATGACTTTGCAAATCCCTCTCTAACTAGGCACTGGCCAGTCTTTTTCTACATGTCATCTAAACATCTCTATGTGGGGATGGTAGACTTCTTCTGTGAAGGGCCAGATAGCAGATATTTGGGTTTCATGAATCAGTTTCTGTTGCAGCGACTCACCTCTGCTGTTGTGTGGGGGTAGCCACAGATAATACATGAGAGTGGAGGGCTGTGTTCCAGTAAAACCTTAGCAACAAAGACAGGCTGTGGGCCAGATGTGTTCTATGGAGCATGGTTTGCCGATTCTTGATTATATCACAATTTCCCAGACTGTCAAAAAATTGTATATTAAAGTGTTACTACTTCTCAAACTTGATGATTAAATGTTGTCTTTGCAGAATCTGATTTCATCATGGTAACAGATTGATGAATACATGTTACATAAGATTTTTCATCTAATTGTTCAAAATCATTAAAAAAAATCCTAAAATATTTTCTATCTTTTTAAGTCTTAGAAAAAACTATGTTCAGGCTGGGTGCAGTGGCTCACACCTGTAATCCCAGCACTCTGGGAGACCAAGGCAGGAGGAGGACTGCTTGAACCCAGTGGTTTGAGAGTTCAAGACCAGTCTGGATAACATAGGGAGATCTTGTCTCTACAAAAAAAAAACAAGAAAAAAAAATTAGCTAGGTGTGTTGGCACATGTCTATAGTCCCAGCTACTTGGGGGGCTGATGCAGGAGGACCACTTGAGCCCAGGAGATAGAGACTGCCATAAACCATGATTGTGCCACTGCATTCCAGCCTGGGTGACAGAATTAGACTCCGACTCAAAAACAAGACAAAAATGGAAATATCCGTGTACATAGAATAAAGTGTAATGACCTGGTTCAGAAAGAGTTTGAGAGGCAATATAATACAGGCATAGGAAGCACACATTTTAAAGTCAGACTGCCTAGCTCTACAACTGATTAACTGTGTGACTACAGGCAAAGTTACCCAATTCCTCTGACCTTCAGTTTCTTCATTTGAAAATAGGGGTAACAATACTTCTTACCTCATAGGGTTATTATAAAGATCAAATGAAATTCATGCAAAATAATGGTCCTCGGATGATAGTAAATGTTCAGTTAAAATGAGACAAACACCAAAATGTCTTAAAATTCTAATTCCCTTAAATGATAACTTTTGAACACGTACATGATAGTGTCGTTTCACAGTATCGTATAATTCCAAAAACTTTAAACTGAAAACATCAACTGGTTTAGATCTGAATACTTTCAAAACTACTGGAATTTGACTAGCAAATCACAAAGCAGTGGATACACAGTGAAATTTGGAAGCTGACCTCAGGGGATGTGCATAAACCTGGGGAACATCAGTAGACATCAGGAAGACGACACAGGTATGTAATACATTTTCAGATTGTTAGTAAAACCTTAGAGAAATCTAGCTTCTTTAAAGAAGTTTTAGCTGTCTAGTGCCATTGTCAAAACTAGCATCCGGTGGCTTGGAATTGTCTACATATGATTTTCCTTCGAGACAAGATGCTGTTGCTATGAATGCTGCCAGACTTGTGACCTACTGTTCTTTCCAAACAATTGTAAGGCCATTCTCACGGCTGAGCTGCTGAATGCACAGAAGTTGCTGGGGCTGCCCAGAGGTCCTTTGTTTGCTGCCATTTGCAGTTGTGTTTTAGTAGATGCCATAATGGCTCATTGACCTGTGTGTGACCCCACGGTCAGCACTTCCTCTGTGCATTGTTGTGACTGTGCTATTTGTCCTCTCCTCATTGGTTTGAGTTTGCAATCACTATCCATTGGACTTAGGAGCTACCTGGCCAATATTTAGGTTCATGGACATGCAGGTGGCCTCATAATTCTAACAGCTAGTCTTTTCTCAGGCAGGATTTACAGAATCAAAGCTGCTCTCACATCTTACTGTATAATGGTTTCACATTAGTCTTCAGAACAAACACGGTGAACTGTCTATCACGGGTTGGGTTCTCCAAACTGCTACTCAATTCTCAATCAGCAGATTCCAAGGAAGTCAAAGCCTTGAATGTGGCTAATGTGTCTGTCATCTGGGCTACTACCTGTGGAAGATCACTGATGTGACACAGGAAATGACTGGTTGGACAGGGTGCGGATGGCACCAATAGAGAAAAACAGGAGAAAGGCCACCTTGCTTTGTGGAGAAATCGGGATGCTGTATTGCAGAGTACCTGGCACCATAGCTGCTGCTCTGGAGCCAGTGGTGCATCCACCACAGAGACGTCTTCGCAGCACACCACAGGGCAGTGGGGCTGAGGCAACACTTGGCCTCTCCCGGGGGTTCTCTTGCTGCAGGACTGGCGGCCAGACCCACCCCACAACTTGCAGTTCATGAGACAGCTCCCAAAAACTCTTTGCATGCCCCACTTCCACTTTTTTTTGGAACTCAAGGAAAAGACCTGGGTAAGGCTTAAGTCTCAGGAAATCAGTTATGGGGACATTAGGGAGGAAAATACCTTAAAAATAAGTGTCATTCTTTTTTTTTGAGTTGGGAGTCTCACTCTGTCGCCCAGACTGGAGTGCAGTGGCCGCTCCCGGCCACCGCAGCCTCGACCTGCTGGGCTCTGACGATCCTTCCGCCTCAGCCTTCCGAGTGGCCGGAATTACAGGCTTGCGCTACCACGCCTGGCTAATTTTTTGATTTATTGTAGAGATGAGGTCTCACCTGCCCAGGCGGGTCTCGAACCCGTGGGCTCAGGCAATCCACTCACCTCAGCCTCCCAAAGGCGCGGGATTACAGGCTGAGCCACCGAGCCCAGCTTAAGTGTCATTCTTATCAGTGTTATATCTTTGGAGTCCTTGTTACACCTTACCCCTGACATTTCTTGGCCACACATAACTTTAAAGCTCACCTCAAGATTTTCTTGGGTGTCCAGAGCTTCAAGATTTGGCCAGTTTTGCTGTTTCACATGTTAGAAGCTTCTGTGTACTTTCTCTCTAGAAGTCATGCCTGATGACATCTACTTGTAGGCTATTTCTTTCTCACCTTATGGACTTGTTCAATGGTCCTTGAACATCAGAATCACCTAGAAGACTTGTTGCAACACAGATTGCTGCTAATTACATGGAAATACTATTTTGGGGGCTGTTGGCCTAGGGACCATATTTTGAAAATTACTGATCTTATGGAAAGAGGGGAAAAAAATCTTATTGTGCTGTGCACAAGTTCTGTGAAAGCTGTTCTCCTACGAATGAATTTCTCTCTAAGCTCTTTCTTTCCTCCAGATGTGTGTGTTCCATCCACATACACTGATATACTCTTCAGCCGTTATATAAAGGGGCTCTGTTCAACTTAAAACATATTTAACCAAATTCAAACACCTTTACAGACTCCAATTCTTAAAATGAGAACTTTACTTGAAAAATGTTCTGTGAACACTCTCACCTAAAACCACGCATACAGGCAACCCATTTATACTTCAGTGGACAACAGGAAGTTCTGCTTTTGTTGTACCTTAGCATCTGCACAGATCCTATTATTAATAGACACTTCAGAAGCAAACTACACAACAGTCTTCTGACTTGACAAGATTACAGCAGAATCACACTAACTTCATACATAATTTTGTTCAATTTTGAGGTTCAGAGTGATCGCTCACCCTGAAAAGTACACCCTAAAAGAAATGTCCATGGTTAAGTGAGTTTGGGCAATGCAGATCTCCAAGAAATGTACCGCAACTTAAATGAACAATGATAAGACCAAAGAGAGCTTCTCCACGCCTTTGAAGATCCTGATGCTCTGGGGTGTGTTGGCTATACCTTGCTCCCCATCAGCCCAGTGGTTTTCAGAACACTTATAGTAAAACAACGTGTATCAGGAGACTTACACAAAAGCAAAACCTTTTGATGGCTAGTATGGTTTATTTCAATTAGATCTTTGATATGTTTTATCTTCTTTTCACTCATTTTTTTCTAGAAATGGGCTAAATTAATTCCTATTAATTAAAAGCCTGGGTTCTGGTTCTGGTATAGTTGTAGAGAAGACTGAAAAATCAAAGTGATAACAACCGAGGGAGAAAATGCTGTTGACACATTAACTGTAGCACAATTCAAGTTTATTCCATTTGTTCTTGCAACACACAACTTAAACACAGTATTATTTAGCATTCGGATGTATATGAACTAGGATACTTATGAGAAACTCAATTGTGTCAAAAGTATAACATTGTGGAAAAATGAACTTAAATATATCAAAATGCACAAAGCACTAGTCTTCCTCCATTACTGCTTAGAAAGATATGATTGTTTCTCCATTTACAAAATAGAATCAGGACAATTTAAATTTTTAAAATTTTGCATGCAAAACACTGCAATTGCTTATTTATGTAGGAGGACACTCTCACCAGCTTCTTCTATACACAATTGAGTATACAATATTGCATGAAATAAAACAGCAGCTCAGTTGAAACTTAGAAAAAAAAAATCAAATAAGTACACATAGATTTAACACCCATTACATGGGGAGAAATCAATGAATAAAGGGCCTACTTGTTTGCAGCTTGCATATACCGCACCTGTCCGTGCTCAGTTGGTCTCAGAAAGGTGAGCTATGTATAAAAAAACTACCTGGGATATTCAGGTCCCATGTTTGAGCTGTAAGTCTATAGACACAATCTGAAGCTGCAAGGGAGAATTTGTTAGTACACTACTGTAAACAGGTAAATTACCTGCCTGTACTTAATATAGTGCATATGTAATGACTGATTTAATACAAAACTACAGAACATGCAAAGATTTTTTTCTGAGATGTTAAATATTACTTTAGTGGAGAACAAAATTACTCAACCTTTCACTAATGCATGTAGTACCAAAAAGCAGACATGGTTTTAGCTTTTTTTTTTTTTTTTACTCAAAATATGAACATTAAGTGTTGTGAATTTCTCTGCCAAGTGGTTCAGAAATACAATATAAATAACCTAGTTAAAAAAAGAAATTGTGAACCACCTTGGTCAGTCTATTCTATTCTAAGTTTATATGTTATTTTCTCAAGCAATCGCTTCATAATCATGGAGTTTACAAAATGGCTGAGAAAGAAGAGGGAAGGCAAAACAGCCTCTACTGCATTACAAGGAACATCAGGATAAACTGTACAAAAACCACATGGTTTCTACACCATGGCTGTAGAAAGCAGACCAGGCTTAGGAATAAAAGGACAATGCACTGCCTGCAACAGCCAACTACAAGAAAACACTTTGAAAGGAAAAGTGAAATGGTGTAAAGGGAAAAATTCAAGCCTTTTAAATAGCATCATGTCAAGAAATAAAAACAAAGAAATCAAAACACCCTTCTATGCTATGTTGATAGTTGTAGACTGTAGAGTGCCCTCCATTTTCAATGAGAATGTCTCCATATTTCAGTTCAGTGATGTAATAAAGTACTGATGACTGACTTTTAATCCAACTCTAACAGGCTGTATCGAGACAGCAGAATTAGCCAAATGTACGAAAGTATTTTAACCACCACTTTGTGATTGTTTTCTTGACATAGGATAATTATGGGGTTAGGCTAGTTGTAAGTGAAAAAGCCACAGGCTAAAAAAGAGGTCATGGGGAAAAATACACACACATAAACCCACACGCCAACCAATCAGCAACTGATCCATAAAACTTGTTAACCAGGGTGGCTGTTCTTGATAATATTTTAACCCTGCTGAGGGATGCTACATTGCCTTAAAAAATAATTAATTCTTGATTATCCACAATCTGAATACAGGTCCCTAACCCCCCCTTTAAAAATTTGAGGTACATTCAATTATTACATGACTCAGCTGAGAAAAAAAACCCAATATTATTAGTAAGCTTATATGGATGGCAAGTCAAAGGAATCTTAACATTTTAAACTCAAGATATCAAATTTAAGATTATGTTTTAATTAGCTGTACTGCTCATGAAATGAACATTTGGAGATGTGTGTACATATTTTCTGCAAGTCCAAAGAATACCATTTTAGGGCACTGTATTAGAAGAATACAATATATATTGAAGTTGTCACAATTTATGCAGTGCATGATTTATAAAGCAACACAAATATATATTACAGGTGGGTTGGGTGATGTTCAACAATAAAAAACTCTGGGAAACCTGGTAACAAGCATATTTTTGAGGGGATGGGGCTAAATCTGTCCAAATAGTAAATCTCACCCCGGTGATAGCTTTGGTGCAATTAAGTAATCAGCATCCAAGATGGGTCTAAGAGAGGCATTCCAAAGAATATTCCTTCATTCTCCAAACGTAACAGAGGCCAATCCATTCAAATAGCAAATAAAGAAAATCTGTATGTACTAAGACAACTGTTCTCTTTATATGATACTAACAGGCTTATGGCTATAATTCTATTTTTAAATCTGCTTTTACTACCAGCAGGAGTTTGAAAGTGTTTTAATGTTATATAAACGTCTGAATTAAGAGGTGAAAAATATGTATACTGGAATGATTTCTCCTTTAGGCTTCTAAAAGTTAAGATTGTATAAATAAAACTAGTCAGTTTTATCTAAAGAGACATGAGATTCATGTGAAAGGGGAGAGAAAATCTAAAGTTCAGTCATCCAGCAATTTAGGAGTGTGCCCCCTCCTCACCTTAACTAAGCTTTCACATAGAGCTTAGAGTCACTGAGGAAAGATTTGGTCACCAACCACAGGCAGCGCTCTTAACTATGCCAGGAAGTCCCCAGGGGAGTTCATTCTTAAGGCAGAAGGCTAGAGCTAGTTGCTTATCTCAGCACCCTAAGTTTACATCACAGCAGCCACTACTGCTTGCACAGTTAGGGCTACCAAATATGTATTAGTTGGCCTTTGTAGAATCAGACCTTCAACACAATCTAATTAATAAAGTAGCTGAGAGCTGAAAAGGTCAAATGTTATCAGTAGACTTTGTCTTTGCTTTCCCTTGGGTATAAGTTACTTTATCAGAAATGGAAAAGAGGCTGACTTGATCAGGAATCCCAGTAAAAGCCTGATCATGGTTTTTGTCCCTTCTTCCAAAACATTTTTTTTTCTGGGAGTCTGATTTGTTATGAATTTCTCTCTCCCCTCACCCCTTCTAAAAGTATTGAGCTGAAGAAGCTGGCAGATAGAGTGACAGACAGACAGGCAGCAGTGTGAGGCCACAGGAGAGTTGTTCTTCCCAAGTCATCAGTCCACCCAGCCATCACTGGAGGAGAGCTTTGATTGCTTGGTTGTCAGTGGCTTCAAAGGCAGTCAGTCCATCTGGACCTTTCACAGTCTTATCAGCACCCTGGAAAAGAGAAGAAAGGGCCCTCATTAAATAAGTTCACAGGTGGGAGAAGAGAATGTGAGACTAAACTGTACGTGAGACTAAATAGGCTGATGTTTACATAAAGAATTGAAAATTTCTTTACTAATGGAGTCCATTCTATTACAGAAAAACACTGGCAAGATTATGGATTAAAGTAATAAAAATATCAGTTTTCAGACACTAGAAATTGTAAGCTATGAAATTAACATAGGTAATGACAACTGGCTTCTGTTTGTACGCTTGTATATTGACTCAAGTAATTAAGCTTTAAAAATAATATCCCCTAGCCAGGTGTGGTGGCGTGAATCTGTAGTTCCTTCAGCTACTTGGAAGGCTGAAGTGGAAGGATTGCTCAGCCCAGCAGGTCGAGGCTGTGGTGGCCATGAGTGTGCCACTGCACTCCAGCCTGGGTGACAAAGAGTGAGACTCCAACTCAAAAAAAAAAAAATCCTGGTCAGGCGTGGTGGCTCATGCCTATAATCCCAGTACTTTGGGAGGCCAAGGTAAAAGAACTGCCTGAGTCCACACGTTCCAGATCAGCCTGGGCAACTCAGCAAGATCCCATCTCTACAATAAATCAAGAAAAATTAGCCAGGTGTGATGATGCATGCCTACAGTTCCAGCTACTAAGAAGGCAAGGTGGAAGGATCACCTGAGCCCAGCAGGTCCAGGCTGCGGTAGCCGTGAGCATGCCAGCCTGGGCAACAGTGAGACTTCAACTAAAAAAAAAAAAAAAAAAAAAAAAAAAAAAAAAAAAATTCCCATGTGTAGTATGAACCTGGAGAAAAAAGCATATCACTTTTGTTGAAGTATTTCTGTGACAAATTATTTTTTTCTTCTTTGCAATACTTTTTGCAGAATCCATAAGTATTATACACTTAAGAACATGTATAGTATTGGTCACTTTACTTGTAAAAACTTAGCAGTAAATGCCCAGAATGTGGGCTGTAAGGTGGTTTCCCATTATATTCTATGGAAATCTTTAGTGAAGACACCAGACTGCTCTGAACACTTAACCTGAGGAGTGCTGTCCTGAAACATTTTGTGTGTAATACAGCCTTTTAGTTTTGAGAATGTGTATGTGTACTTTTGTGTCTGTATGGTATTTTATGTCCCCTTTTTAGAATTAAAGCTCCACAGGAGCAGGAATCTTGTCATTATTCCTAGCACTGAGAAAAGTCCCTAGCACATGGTAAGTGAATTTGGTCCCAAACCAGGTCTGACCTTTTCAACTCCAAGACAATATGCTACTATCCGTGGGTTCTCTCTGTGAGCTCTATCACTAGCCAGTATTTATTTGCCACACAGTCTTTAACAACCTGTTCTGGCCCCTTCCAAATCTCACTCATTCTTCTGCTGGTTTCTGAGCCCTACGGAATTGTCTAGACTTGGCATAAATGGTCCTTCAGAATCTAGCGCTGGTCATATTTACCAGTCTCTTCTCCTATTACTCTTTCCCTACTCCTACAGAATTAGTTCCTGAACATGCCAGGTGTCATGCCCTTACACATGGAACGCCTTACCCCTTTCTCTGGCAAATTCACCCATCCATTCAATTAATATTTACTGAATGTTTGATGTGCAGATACCGTGCAAGGGACTGGAGAAGCAAAGAAAGAGTCTGCCAGTCTGGCTAGTGTACGAGACAGACAAATCAACCAACACAATACCACAGAATGATTACAATCAAGGTGCTATGCACAGGAACATGTGGCCCATAATTCAGAACAGGATGTGGGAACAGTGGGAGAAAGTCTTTAAAGATGAGGGAATGCTTCAGCTGAGTCTTGACAGATACAAGCTGCTTAGGTAAACCAGGGAGGAGATGACAGACATTCTAGGAAGTGCTAAATTACCACAAAGTCCTCCTTAACATCACCCTAAGTCTCTATTTCTTCATTAGAAATAACTGTTTCAGCCAGGCTCGGTGGCTCAGCCTGTAATCCCAGCACTTTGGGAGGCTGAGGCGAGTGGATTGCCTGAGCCCACAGGTTCGAGACCCGCCCGGGCAACTTGGTGAGACCTCATCTCTACAATAAGTCAAAAACTAGCCGGGCATGATAGTGTGTGCCTGTAGTTCTGGCTACTTGGAAGGCTGAGGCGGAAGGATCGCCAGAGACCAGCACGTCGAGGCTGTGGTGGCCGGGAGCGGCCACTGCACTCCAGTCTGGGTGACAGAGTGAGACTCCAACGCAAAAAAAAAAAAAAAAAAAAGAAATAACTGTTTCATGGAAGACATGGAACTCAAAGTAAAGTGGGAGAAACATCAGTGAGAATTTCCAAGTCAATGTGGCGAGCCCTGCAACACTGGCTAAGTGCCAGTAAATGGGATCACTGTATTGAAAACAAAAGATTTCTTATTCATTTTGATGGGTGGTGCTTTTTATAATTAGTATCAAACTATAATTCTGCATTAACAAAAAGTTACATATTTTAGTGAACATCTATTGCTTTTTAGCTACCAAAGTTTATTTCCCTTCTTTTGATGACAGCATTCTAATTTCATCTTGGGGAACCATTTGTCTCTACTATGTTTTACTTTTAATTACTATGGGTACATAATAGCTGTACATATTTATGGGTTACATGTGATGTTTTGATGCATGCATACAATGTGCAATGATCAAATCAGGATAACAGGGGTATTTATCACCTCAAGCATTTATCAGTTCTTTGCCTTAGAAACATTCCAATGCTAATCTTTGTTATTTTAAAATACACAAGAAATTCCTGCTAACTACAGTCCCCTTATTGTGCTACCAAATAATACTTTCTTATTCATTCTACCTAACTGCATTTCTGTAGTCATTAGCCATCCCCCCCACTCCCAACTGTGTGAGTCCTAAAACTATAAAATGAGGTGTCAAGTACTTTCCTTGCCAAGTGTACAAAATTTATTTAACTCAAGCAGGACACTCTCCTTTATTTTGAATCTTGACTGGAGACACCAGAAGAGAGAATGCAAGAAGTCAGAGCTCGTTCCGGGGCTCCACCTAGCTGAAGAGCACTGTAGTCGCCACAGTTCTGATCTCTTCTCAGCTTGAAGCCACCTTCCTGTTGATTCTATGATGGATCCAGTATCTTTTCAAAAATTCCTTTTTTACTTGTTGGACCCAATTTCTGCTGCTTGCATCGAAAACTATTTAGCCGATAAATTATTTTTAAAATTTATTTATTTATTTTTTTCCACCCTTAGGACCCCACACTTGGTTTAACATTCAGCTTTCAGGACGTTCAAATTCATAACAGTGTTTTCACAATGTACCCACCATAGGTCATGTCACTCGTCCTGAGGACTCAATTTTGTCTCAGATTGCACGTATCACCTCATGTGTTCTTCCCCTGGGCTCTGGGTCTCAGCACATATGGGGCTTAGGAAAAGGACACAGAAATAAAGTCAGAGCCAAGGGCCACATGGTGCCGTCACCTATAAGCATCGGTCCAGCAAGCCACAAGTGGGTTTGACATCGGTGACCAGGACTCTTCTGGTTCAAGAGACTGAGGAACACATAGCATAGGAGACTGGTACCCAGAACAGGTAGGTTTTCCAGCTCAAGGCTCAGGTTTTATGGTTGACACTTGAGGTCAATGTCAGAAGAATCATTCTCCCTATGAGGTATCATCTTTCAATAAAGGATCATTGCTTGTGGTTTGGTTGACCCTAGCACAACTGGCATGTGAACACAAATCCCAGCTCAATTCTGAGGGTTACTCAGGCATCACATAGTAGCATAAGGGAATTTGTGGATGATGGAAATATTCTATATCTTAATAGGGTGAGGGTTATGTGGGTATATGCATATATATGCTCAACAGCTACTGTTTTGCTCTTTGAAAATGTGTAAAGCTTACTTCAGAGGTTATATCTTAATTCATTTGATTTTTTATAATCAATATTTTTTATTATGATATTGTGGGGTACAGTTAAGGGTCAGGTATACAAATACGTTTTGTTCAGGCACCCTTGTTGATAAGGTGTTTCCCCGTCCCCAGACAGATATTTACTACCGTTAATCCCACCCCCCCATAGTTTCCCTATTTTTTAAATTTATATAAGTTACCTTTTTTGCTAATTATAATACAAACTTATCATAGAAAACTCAGAATTCTAAAAGCTAGATAAAATTAATGTTAAGATTTTAGTGTTTCCATCTACTATTTTGTTCTGAATACACATATGTATATATTTCTTTAAAAAATAAATGAGCAACTGTGAGAGAACTAGAGTGACTATATTTTATATAAATAAAAGCAACTTTAAGATGAAGAAATGTTACTAGAAATGAAGAGGTACATTTCACAATGATAAAAGGTTCACAATTCAAAATGAAATTAAAAAGCAATTCCACTTGTAACAGCATCACAAAGAACAAAATACTTGAGAATTTAATAAAGTCAAACCAATTCTAAAAAAGATAAGTCAGTTTTGTCAGCATAAATAAGAGTATTAAATGATTTTTTTTTTGGTACTTGATGCACTAACTTAAGTATATATGGTCTCATCCCTTGTTTGAAGAAAACATTTTTGCTTTTAGTTCCAGTAATTATTTCCATAGCTTTAAATAATATATTCTTGCTGCTATTTGTGTTATTCACTTTAGATTTTATCTTTTTAACTTACTGCTACATAGACAAAGCTTAGCGCACTACTACCTCTCTTCCCCAAGTTCTTATATTTAAAATACCATTTTGCTTGTTTATACAAATGATATTTATTTAAATTTCAATTTCCTATTCTAATAGTTCTGTCAGTGGCTCACCTCATCTCTCATAAAGTAATTTTATAAGATAACTTCTCTACCTTCTAACTTGCCAGCGTGTCAAGATTAACTTTTATATTCTGGTCTGTAAAACTAGGGCTTTGATTGCTGGTTGATTCTTATAGGTAAAATAAGTAAATGATGTTTAAATTATTTCTAGGTAAACACTGCTCACGGTGGCACCTAGTAGACTAACATGGTTGATTTTTCTTTGTTGTT